CCAGGATCCTTTTTTAGGTAGCTGACAGCTGGTAACATGGTTTCCTTGAGGGAAACTAAATGTAATGCTTCTTCTGTAATAGTCTTCTTTGTAACTCAAACTGCATTCACTAGTGCGCCCTTCCTCCATTCCTTCTTTTTAAGAATGTACCAGATTGTTGACTTGTCCATTTATTCTGATTTTCAGACTAATAAAAACCTTTGGACCTCATATTGAGAGGTTGATTGAAAAGCTACTAAATCCAAGTCCAGCACTTGGAACCAGATCTTTTATCTACTAAATTTGTTGTGGAATAAAGAGAGAACAGGCTTCTTTAAAGCTATTTATGAGTTGCTCAGTTATGTTTGAGTATTTGAAAATGGGCAGTGAATCTGAACCAGATGGAATAGCTGTGATTCCTAAATGAATGCCTAATCTGAAAGTTTGGACTTCAATCACTTCTTGATTGTTGGATTTATTTTTTATTATTGTCTGTGGTGGGGTACAGTGGCAGGACTAAAAGAAATGTTAAAAAATTGAGAAAAAAAAGTACAAATAATCCAAAAATGTATGGACCTAACTGTAATTTCTGCTACATCAGCTCACCATTAATGACACCATTCATTTGACTGACCAAGAGTAAATTGATTAACTACTGCACAGAGGCGGTCGCTTTTCACATTTGCAGCACCATTAACAAAAATAGCAAATGAAGTCAATATTTTCAAGTACTAACAGTTAAAATAGTCTCTCCCTCAGTTTCAATCATGACTCTCACCAGTGGAAAGGCGTGGGAGATCTTGCCGTCTGGGGGAAGTTTAGCTCCAAAGCCATACGCAGGGAAGAGTTTGTCACTGTCATAGTCCTGGATAATTTCTCCCACAGCCTTCAGGGCCATGGCATATGCATTCATTTGGTATGGACTCATATAGTGCAACGATGTCGGCTGGGACGGGTTACCTAGAAAGAGAGAAATCCCCACCAGCATGCAGCAAAATTAGCGTGAGAATGTTCTTATCAGAGAATGAAGAAAAGCAATTACACATTTATTAGACTTGCAGAAAACACACATGCAGACATGATGAAGGAAACCACTATGTTGTGTAACTACTGGAATTAGTTGGGTTTTTTTTTTTTATTTGCTTTCCAAAAAAAAGACCAACTAAATTTTGAGAAACGTGGTTTTGTAGAATTGATATTACGGAGCCGTGGAAAGAAAATACATTTCAAAGAGCATCCTTATTCGTATCTGTGTAGTTTCTTTGCTGTCTGACATGTTGTCAGTTCTTTAAGTCTGAATGCGGTCTTTTCAATTTGTGGGATCACAACCTAGCATGAAAGGTTTTAAGCAGTGTTGTCCTGTTTTAGCCGCTAAACCCTCTTTGATAAACTCACTATCAGAGAACGGTTTATTGTTGTTGTAGATTTTGTAGGAAATCACAATACAACTTTGCTGCTTTTATTTTGAAGGCCACAGCTTTCAAAATACTCAACTTAAAAGGTCTATTTTTATTTATTTTTTTAACTCGAAGCTAAAGTTTGTGGCGAGTAGTTCGGATTCTCTTTTGATTTGAATGAGAGCTGTGATGTCCCTGACTCAGTTATTCATCTTATAATATGGGGTAACAAACAAGTTTGAGATTATGGAGGAGCTGACAGATTTGCGCTCAGTGATAACCTGCTCAGTATTTTTCTCCAGTATTTTAAAGTATTTTAATAAAAGTCTTATTGAATTCCTATAACCTCCTTTTTTGTGCACGTATAATGCAGAAACTTGGAACTAATTTAAGTTCATAAAAGTTTTAAGATGTTTTTTGCTCCAGGGTAGGTACTTTCAAACACAAGGGGAATATTGAGTGATATAAGTATACAATGACTGGTCTGTGCAAAAAAACCATATACATAAACAATAGTTATCTTTAAAAATATAGAGAACCGGACCAATAGAAAATATATGTAAGAGAGGAAACGCATCATATGAAGCAAAAAGATCATAATTTCACTCACGTTATTCTCAACTTGCGACCTTTGCAAAACACAGTAAAGCTATGTAAAAAAAAAAAAAAAAAGGAAAAAAGAAGGGAAACTGAAAAACCACTATGTACTATTTAAACCTGTCTGTTAAGTTACTGCCACAAATGCATGTTAGCTTAATAGCAGATAGTTATAGAAAGAATATTTTACAACCACAAACAACTTTTCCTGGTTGTAAAATATTTGTTCCTTGTTCCCAGTAAGTTCCCTGGTTCTCTGTACATTATTAAGACTGACACACTGCTATCTGCAATTCCCAGATTAAACTCTCATGAAACTCAAATCTCTGTGGTTGGGGGAAGTATATATCTAGAGACAACCTTGCAGTGGGATTACACCAACTAAGTTACCAAAATCTATCCACAGATAACCAAAAGTATTGAAAAGTTAGTTTTGAAATGTAATGTTTCAAAATGCACCAATGAGGCATAACATAATGACCACGTGCCTAAAATTTTGTTGGCCCCTATTTGCTGCCAAAACAGCCCTGACCCCTTGAAGCAAGGATTCCACTAGACTCCGAAAGTGTGCTGTGGTATCTGGAAGCAAGATGTTAGCAATATTCTTCCTACAAGTCCTACAAGTTGTGAGATGGGGCCACCGTCAGTCTGACTTGCTTATACATCACATCCCACAGATGCTCAATTGGATTGAAAGCTTGGGAATTTGTTGTGCTCCTCAAACCATTCCAGAGTCATGTTTTTTTCTTTCTGGCAGAGTGGATTATCCTGGCCACAGCCATCGGGGAATACCATTTCCATGAAATTCAATTCAATTCAATTTTATTTATATAGCACCAAATCACAACAACAGTCGCCTCAAGGTGCTTTATATTGTACGGTAAATCCTACAATAATAGATACAGAGAAAACCCCAACAATCATATGACCCCCTATGAGCAAGCACTTTGGCGACAGTGGGAAGGAAAAACTCCCTTTTAACAGGAAGAAACCTCCGGCAGAACCAGGCTCGGAGGGGCGGGGCCATCTGCTGCGACCGGTTGCGGCAAGAGAAGGAAAACAGGATAAAGACATGCTGTGGAAAGGGTGTACACAGTGCTTAGGTAGGTGGTATGTGTCAACGTAACAGCCAAAGTGATTGCAAACCCAAAGTTTTCCAGCAGAACATTGCTCAACATAACGCTGCTTCACCGGCTTGACTTCCTCCTATAGTGCATCCTTATGCTAGGTGTTCCCTAAGAAAGTGATGTACAAGCAACCAGCCATCTACAAGATGTAAAAAGAAAATATGATTCCTCAGACCTCACACTGCTCTGTCGTGTAGTTCTGATGCATACGTACTCACAAGTGGACAGCATGGGCACTGTGACTAGGGCAGGTTGCAGTCCCATATACAACAAACTGTGATACAATGTGTATTCTGACATCTTTCTATCAGACTCAGTACAAACATTTTTAGCAATTTGAGCTACATTATCTTGTCTGTTGGATTGGACCATACGAACCAGCCTTAGCTCTACATCCATGAGCCTTGACCAGCCCATGACCCTTTTGATAGATACTGGCCACTCCAAACTGGGAACACCCCACAGTTTTGGAACTCTGACTTAGTTGTCGTGCCATCACAATTTGACCCTTGTTAAACTCACTCAAATGCTTATGGTTGCCCATTTTTTCTGCTTCTAACACATCTACATTTAAGAGCAAAATGTTTACTTGCTCCCTAATATATCCCAATCACTAACAGGTGCCATGACTAAAAGATAATCGGTATTATTCACCTTACCTGTCAGTGGTCACAAAGTTATAAAATACCCCACCTTTTGCAGCTATAACAACTTTTTGTTAACAATGTTTTTCTTCCGCACCAACCCTGCTCATTAATGACTTTATGGACCTTGCTTTGTGCACTGATGCACAGCCACGTTGGAAGAGGAAGGGGCCATCCCCTGAAGCATTAAGCTTCTGTCTAAGCCTGTGAGATCTATTCCTGAAAAACAACCCAACACCATAATTATGTGGGGTGATTATATAATAGAATTATGTAAAGGGGAATATGTAATTATTGATTACACTTGGTACAATGCAGAGCAAGAGCAAGTATCGTTCTCCAGGCACCTGTCAAACCCAGCCAAGTGCATCAGACTGCCAGATACTGCCAGTGATCTGTAACTGCAGGAAACATATGCTGTGGCAGCATCCTTTACTCCATGCTTTGCAATGTGCTGAGCAGAGATAGGCAGTAATGTGTTAACGCGTTACTGTAATCTGATTACTTTTTTCAAGTAACGAGAACAAGTATTACTATTGCAAAAAAGTAATTAGATTACTGTTACTTTCCCATAAGCACGCAGCCTTACTGCGTTACTAAACCATGATTTTGTTGGTGAGAGTGTCTCATGACAATGACGTACGAGCGTGCAACGTCCGTGGCAGCAACAGACGTGTGCAGATCAACGATGAATAATATGGAGAGCGGGAGAGAGTACGAACGTGCAGCGTTTAAAGCTTGGAAATACTGACATTACTTTGAATTTGATTCTGTAATAAGTGACAAAAACATCAGCGTCTGCTGTTCACTCTGCGTGGGAAGAAAACTTCTTTCTACAGCAGAAAATTAAACTTGAAATCTGAGCGAGCACCGAGCACGCTGCCACGGGAATGTGACATTAAAAAAAAATAAAATTCCTGCAAACACAGAGGTAACTCCTGGCCCAAAACTGACAAATTGTGCTGTCAATCAGCACTATCAATCATGTCTTGTAAACACTAATTACAATACAACAATAATCTGGCTGCCTCAGTTTAGTAAGTCCCATTAGCCTGATGGACTGATGAAGTATTTGAACAACCAGATTAGGTGTAATATTGCAAATCTCTCATTATTTCGTTAACAGAGCTTCTTTCTTTGAGAATTTTTCAACTTAAAGACTTTGCAATTAGGAGTTTGTTTTTTCCTGTCTGGCTGATAGGTGACTGTCATTGTGTTTCTTTGCAGGCACCTCTGTAGAATAACAGGGACTTGGTGTTCAGGCTTTTTAAAAATGCTCTTAAGTGGCTAATCAAAAAGCAACTCTCAATGTGAAGGTCATTTTTAATGGACAATCAGCTTGTGCGCTATATTCTTCAGCTGGTCCATTGTGATATTTTTAGGACATATTCCAGTTTCCATACTTTACACAGAAGTACATATTGTGCATATGTGTGATGGTTGATGATAGCATGATAGACATTTGGGAACATAATAGCACGAATAGTGTCTACATATAGACCACCACCAAGCCAGACAAATAATTGTGTAGCAGTTATTTGTCAATGCCACTGAAATTGATTTTTTCAAAAGAAGGCAAAAAGAGTCTAACTAAAGTAAAAAAGCGACAACAAATTATTTTGTGGGCAAAAAAATCTCACTGAACAGATGTGTGGACATTTCCTGCATGCATTAAGATGAAACACTGTCTTACCATTGGATGCTGTGAAGTCTATGGCTACAGTGAAGTTGAGTTGTGTCCTGGTGGGAGATTGAGCACATTGATATCAGTCACAGTGGTCAGGACTTCGTTTTGAGATTGGAAGAACATCTACAGCTCTTCATGCCAGATCGAGAAACGTACATACTGGTCACCGGTTAGAAATTGTAAGACAAGTATTTGAAATCTACAAATTATTAATGTATGTAGTATTGTTTTTGCCCAGTGAATTCTTCAGCTTTCTGTAACTTACATTTCACAACAAAAACAATTTTTAAAAAATGAGCTGTCCAGAATGATGAGAAAACAAATTCAGCAATATAAAACTCTAAAACAAAAGCAGTGAGGCAGCAGCAAACGCCTCACTGATGGTTTAAGAAACATCAGTGTTCAAATAAAGTGCACTACCTTGGAATGTTTTTTCTTCCAGCCTATTTGCTTGACTGCTGTAACACATTTATTGTATTAATATCACATAGTATTTATGAGTGAAACGCTAGTTACTTCAGCTAATTAGCTTACGTAGTTAACAAATCAAACGTTCAGAGTGTGACCCTGATGCAGCTGATGCAACTCAAAGCATGCTCATATTGGTCAAAGTTAGAGCTGATGCAATATGACATCATCCGCTACACTTGTCTGATCTGCCTGATGCAATCTGTGGTTGTCAGTAAACCAACTAGAAGTACAGGGGTGAAGCACTTTCTTTGAATTACTGTGTATTTTCTTAAGCTTTTGCTTTAGATTTAGTTACGACTGCTGTGTTTAAGTTGTGCTGAGAGCAGTTAGCATAGCTGACGTTCTTGTGTCATGCCCTCTGCTTTATTGCCATTTCAGTTTAATGAGTTATATTGCATTTTTCTGGCATGTTGGGGGTTAGTTATTTACATGTTATGGTTTTATAACCACATCATTATTACTGATGCTCTTTTGTTCCAAAACATTTTCTACCCCTACTTTTATAAAGTAAAAGTATGAGAAATACACTACATTGCTGAAAGTATTCACTCATCTGGCTTCACACACATATGAGTATAACTTGAGTAAAAGTCTCCTGGGAAGGCTTTCCATGAGGTTTATGGGAATTTTTGGCCATTTCTCCAGAAGCATATTTGTGAGGTCAGACAAGACGGCCTGAATCCACTTTGCTCTGATTCATCCCAAAGGCGCAGAGTTCTTCCAGGCCCAGTTCTTCATCCATGTCTTTATGGATCTTGCTTTGTATACAGTCATGTTGGAACAAGACGAATGTTCATGTTACGCCATGACTGCCCAGCTTGTCGTGATACTCAATGTGTCTTTTTTGTTTAGAATAATTGATGTAAGTAAAAAGTATAACATCAGTCAAGGTCATCTTCAGTGACAACTCAAGTTCTCATCAATCAGAAGCAGACATTTCCTAGTGAAATCTGCTATTTTTGGTTATCATTTATCTGAACAACATTGTGTGCAGTGGCAAACTAAGTGTCAGGTTCGACAAACAGAGCAGTGGGGATAAAAGACAGAAGCTGTGAAGAGTCACTAAACTGTGACTCAAGAATCAAATGAGGGCTGATTTTTTTCACTGGAAAACCAGAATGTAAGCAAAGTGTGTAAACATTTTAGTCAAAGTTTACAACACATTGCACCCTTTGTACTACCTTCCAGTAATATCATTTGTGTATGTTCGACTCTACCCTAATGAAACATGACTGACTGAGTTCTTACCCTCCTCTGATGAAGTCGACAAATGTATACTCTGACTCCACTTTGAAAGACAGCAGGGTCACCTTGAAGATTGGGAGAAAGTGAAAGGGAAATGAGGAAAAATATCAAGAGAACCAAGAGAGGTTACAGACAGGCTAACAGCAAACATTATACATTTACTGGACTGATAAATCACTCCTGCTATGAGTCATCCCCATGAAACATGTGACAGCTGTTGACATGACACACTGACGAGTCTTACCGTCCCTGAGTTGATGTATTTCTTCTTTTTGCCTTTCTTTTTAGGATTCAACACCTTGACCATAAGAGAGGAAACATGAAACAAGCTTTTCAACAAACAAGTCAGAACACATTATATAGTCTTTCCTCATATTTCTAAGCTAATATGAACAGGTGGCGATTTAATACTGTCCTCAAATAAAGGCTGGAATTCATAACACAAGGAATATTACTTCATGAATAATATATAACACTGAAGGAACTAGCTGTGTTTTTAATACCATCGACACAATCAACAAAAAATAGTTTTTGGAGAAAATCTTTGTCATTTTGTGACCAAAGTGAAATGTACTTCTTGTTGCACTCTTCTTTTTTCTTTTCATTTTTTTACCTCATAGACATTGAACTGGCTTTGGCCTCTGGATAGTTCTCTGTAGCTTGTGGTGAATTCTCCAATAAAGTCATGACTGGAAGGGAGAATGAGATAAAGATAACAAATAAAAAGAAAACAGTTATTGTTGTATCTGTAACATGACTTTCTATTCTTTTTGACAAAAAATTATAGTCCTTTTGTTCAACAACATGGTGTCCGAATGATTTTCTTTCTTTGTAAGCTGTGAAATACAAATATAAATAGAAAGGGTCCACTTAAAGGGAACCCCGACTATTATGACAAGTCACTCTAAATATGTTAAAAATTATCTCCACCACATAAAAACATACTTAAGAATAACTACAATTTTTTTGTTGTTATTCATTAAATCTTTGTTGTTTAAAATTATTTTGGAGCCGTGGGAGCGGCCATGCATTCTGGGACAATGACGTGTATTGGTTGTTAGCAGTATAAGTGCTTTCGTTCAGCTAACCTGTTTTGTTTTTCATAGTGTAGCAATGGTGTCAATTAAGTTGTCTATTAGTGACCTGGTTACGACTTGGTAGACCAGCACTATCCGGTCTTTGAGTCTGATGTTATTAGCATTCTTAGCAAACTCCGCTGCAAAAGTCAAATGATCACTGAGGCATTACTGAGAGTTGAAAAACTGTCTAAATTTGTTCATCTGTAATAAAATGATCAGTGTGGCTGCTCTGCCAGGTGTATCAATTAAGTTTAACATCCAGGCGTCCATGAAAATGGAATTTATGACATTTAACTGAGTTAGAAGTTAGCAGGGAGTTAGCTCGCTAGCTTCCATCTAAATACATCTAAATATAATATTGTAGAGGTAAACACAGACGACATGAGAGCTCTTGATTAACACAGCAGGTGCGCAGCTCTGGGGAGAAAGCGGTTGTAGACCCCCCAAGAACTCCTGCAGCGCTTTAACCGACGTGGGACGTGGAAAAGCCGAAACATGCCTGAGTGAGTGCCTCAGGCATGTTTCGGCCTCCTGCGTGACCTCATCAGAAGCTCAGATACCATTACGCCAGCCCTTACAAGCTGGCTAAGTGACACCCATATCAGGAGGGGCTAGTGCCTCCCTATATAATAGGCTGACAAAGCGTCAGATGTCATCCAAAACAAGCCCACCTCTTCCTCTTCCTCGCTTCCATAGCAAGGAGGGCGGTCTGGTGAGACACTCACTCATGCTACTCAGAGAACTGGGGTTATATACATAACCTTAAGTTCTCTTTGATAGCATTCGTTTCGTGTCTCACTATGGGAGGAATACTGACTGCTGGATTGCCAGACATGCCTGTTAAGAAGACAACTGTCCCCAACAGCACTTCACAGGGGAGAACCTGCACTGAGGGATGAATGCGCTAGGTTAGGTGCTGTTACATCTAACCTGTAAAACCTAGCAAATGTGTGAGGAGGCTGAAGACCCCTGCTAGTATAGGCCTGGGCAATTGCTCCTACTATCCAATGGGAGAGGTGCTGTTTAGATACAGGCTTTCCCTTATGTGGTTTAGCCCAGGACACGAACAGCTGGTCACTTTGTCTGACACTCTGGGTTCTGTCGATATAAATGCGCAGAGCACGGACTGGACACAAGGTATGCAGCCACTGTTGCTCCTCTGAGGAGAAAGGCGGTGGGTGAAAGGCCAGAACATCTGTAGGGGAACATGTGCCGACAACCTTTGGGATAAAGGCGAGGTTTAGCCGCATACTGACCCTCGTATTATCCGAGGACAACTGAATGCATGACTGACGCACTGAGAGAGCGTGGATCTCTCCTACATGCTTAGCTGAAGCTAAAGCAATTAATAGAGCTGTCATCAAGGACAGAAATTTTAACTCAACCTGTTCCAGGGGTTCAAATGGGCAACAGGAGAGCACAGCCAATACTGTGGGAAGGTCCCACGATGGAGCCAACGGCCTAGACGTAGGCAATTTACGCCGTGCACCCTTCATGAAACGGCATATTAAGGGATGCTGGCCAACAGTCTTCCCCTCAAAACCAATATGGCAGGCTGAAATTGCTGCCAAATACACCTTGATGGTGGAGAAGGCTTTACCCTTATCAATCAGGGCCTGAAGAAATGACAGAATCACTGCCACAGAGCATTGAAAAGGGATGGCCTGTGATTCTAAGCACCAGCTTTCAAACACACGCCACTTGTGCTCATATAGCGTCCTAGTAGACGATGCTCTAGAACACTGAATAGTGTCGATAACACTATGAGGGAGCCCCACTGTGTTCAGGTTAAATCACTCACAGGCCAAGCCCTTAGAGCTAGCATCTCCAGGTGGGGGTGGAATATTTCCACCCGTGCCTGAGACAGGAGGTCTCTGCGTAGCGGTAACAGCCAAGGTGGGCTGCACAGCAGCTGAAAAATCTCTGCCAGCCACTGCTTCCCTGGCCAGTGCGGGGCTATCAGGATCATATAGTGACCTCTCTCTCTCAATTTGGCCAGAGTTGGAGAAATGAGGGCCACTGGGGGAAAAGCATAGAGGAGGGTTCTTGGCCACTCGTGAGCCAGAGCATCCACCCCGAGCGGAGCTTTCTGATCGTGCAGCGAGTAAAACACTTTTTCCTTAGTCATCAGGTTGGTAAGCCAACACATGCTTTCCCATCTTTTTCACCTTTGGCAATTTCTTACCATCAAAACGAGATTTTACAACCTCTGTTTGTATGGCGGGCCACGGGATGTTGAGCCTAGCAGCTGCGCATGTCCTGCATGTCGAGATCCAGGGAAGACGGCGGTGTCGGTTTTTCAACCTCGCCGGTAGCCGAGGGCTTTGCAGCCCAGCTGATTCTAGGTGGAACCCTCCTCCTCCTCGTCAGACAGGAGGAGTTCTGAGTCAGCCGACTCATCTCCGTCATCATTATCATCTCCTCCCCGGGTGACTCCAACATGGGGGAAAAACTCACATTCTCCATGTGCCTCCAGCGACGGGAGAGCGGCCGCGATGGGCTGAGGGTCTGCCTCTGCCCAGCTCGGCCTGGCGTTGTTGCCAAATCATCAGGCATCTCAATTTCTCCTTGCGCTGCAGCAGCCTCACACAGCAAAGAGTCGCCACCCGATAGGTTAGTCTGGCGAGCTAGCCTGTGCGGAGTTGTTTGCGTGGAAAAGCCGTGCAGTGGATACAGTCGTGTGCAGGTGTCAAGGCAGCCTGAGCCTGAGATAAGCTTAGGCATGCTGCACACACGGGGTGTGTATCCCAGGCAGAAATCCTCTTGCTGCAAGGACAAAGTTTCGCAACTTCGTTGTCAGTCGTAGCCATGGTTAGCTAGAGGGTTGTGCACATTAGCGAGACCAACACTGATGTCGTGTCCAAATTCATGGGCTGCATCCTCCTGAGGCCGCATTTGTAGACCGATTACGTCACAGCGACGCGCCGAAGGCTGTCCAAATTCGTAGACCCCTCCGAATGCAGCCGACAAATGCGTCCTCCTTTTTCCGAATTTGAAGGATGGGTCGGGTGTGTCCTTCGTGGCCCACCATATCCCAGAATTCATAGCGCGGCCCAGCCAAGCTCCAGTTTCCAACAATGGCGGCCGCTACTAAGTTTTAAAATTACTCTTATTAATCTTTCTGGGTCACAAAATAAACTTTTAACATATTTTCAGGCGAGAAAGTAGCTGTGTAAACATCAAATATCTGCTCGGTTTATCAAGATATCGCATCTTTGCTAAAGTGCTTCGACGTTTTCGGAGACGTCTGCTACCCACCAGCTCGATAGCTAGCCGGGAGCTCGAGGGTTACTGATGCGGCCGAGAATGGCACAACTCCCGGCACATCATTTTCAGATCACCGCGGACTTTCGCTGCTCGGGTTAAACGTTGTCAGCCGGTGATCAGCTGATCACGGGGCCGGGGTTAAAAGAGAGACGCCACCCACCTGAGCTCCGAAACTCTGCCAACGTCAGTCTCCGCCTGATTCAGCAACCGTGAGTGATTATCCCTTCAATCCTTTTTCTCTTCCCAGCTCCGCTCGCTCTCTGTCGGTAACGACCGTTCCGAAGCCACGCTTCGTGCACTGATCGTTACTAGAATAACTGCGTGCCTGCTCCAAACCCACCGCTAGCCTTCGCCGCGCTTGGGTCTAGCCAGCACGCCACACGGGCACGCCGAATTACTGTGTGTAACCCGCCCGGCCGTGACAAACGTAATATATAAGTCACTTAGACAACCTAAAAATGTTATTGTTGGGCTTTTTTCAGTGTTTTGTTTGTTCGTGAGTAAATCGGTTTGGCTGAGATTAAAGTTATTAGATTAGATAAAATAAAACTTTATTAATCCATCGGGTGGGTTCCTCCTTGGTTTTTACACAGCTGACTAAACGTGAAACAGAAAACTGATTAAACAGAAGTGTGAGATGGCCGAGAGTTTACTCCAGTGTCCTGTTATATTTTAGACAGCAAGGAGCAGACGGCTGAGTTTATTAAACTCCACCGACACAGCGGTGACGCTAATCAGAAGGCTAGACCGTCCAATTTCACGGCCGTTTACTTCCGGCCTACCCGATCTTCTGAGGACCCGGCCCACGTAGACCGCGAAGGCCGGGTCCTCAGGAGGATGCAGCCCATGAATTTGGACACGACCTGAGTGTGGAGAATATTGCTATTTCTCAGCTAGCATGAGGTGAAAAGTAGTGCTACTTTTCTGCAGGTATTGCTACCTAATGTGTAAAACCGCTAGTGCCAAAGGGTATTGCCACCTCATGGTGAAGCTAGTGGTACCTTTATTAGCAAAGTGTTGCTACATCGCTTTGGGAAAATATTGCTACTTCCCAGGGTGAAAGTATTGCTACTTGACACCAGCACTAGCTACAGAACAGCACGCGTGCGAACACCGGGGGACCGACCGTCGGAATATAATGTTCAACCCCGTGCTTCGTAGCAGTGTTCAAGAAATTAGGAACATTCAGTGAAGGGAACTCCAAGAGCAAATGCTGAAAAACATTCCCTGAAGTCACAAAATTTGCTCAATTCAGGGGCTCGATGGCCCGAGTGAAACAGTGTATTGAAGAAAAGGACAGGGCATCGATTAAGTGTCTGTTAGCGACATCGACCACCAGTCCGTGGGCACAAAGAAAATCGGCACCCAAAATAGGCACAGAGCTAGCGGCAACAACAAATGTCCACTGGAAATCCCGACCATGAAAACAAACAGTCACCAACCTTTCCCCGAACGTCGCGATTGGAGAGCCATTAGCCGCAATAAGCTGCATTCCGCAGCTGCTAAACTGTCGTGCCGGTCGGGGGAAGGAGGCTCATCTGGGAGCCGGAGTTGACCAGGAAACGTCTCCCGGAGTGCAAGTCTTCTATGAAGAACAGTTTTTCTTTGTCGCCAGCGATCGCGGCCGCTACTGCACGCTGGCGGGGCCCGTGTCCCGGGGCCGGAAAAGGGCAAGGCAGCAGGCAGCAGCACGCTCTGGCGCCAAAACACTGATGGTAGAAACAGAGGTCCTGTCCGCGGTGCCGCAGTACTGCTGTGCCGCTATCTTTGGCATCAGCGAAGGATGGGACACTTCGGGGCAGGTCAGCGGGGAAGTGGAAGGTGCTGCCGGTGAGGCTGGAACCAGGTCGTGATCGTGGAAAGTGCAGGAAGCCAAGAGAAAACGATCCGCTTCCTCAGCCAGGGAGCGATAATCCTTCACATCCAGCTCTCACGGCCGCTGGCAGCTGTCGGAGGAAGATGTGGGTGAAAAGGAATCCCCCATTGTTCGGTCCAAGAAAGGACAGCATGTGCTCCATCAGTTCGAGAGCCATACCGCCACCCAGGTCTGAGAGGGAGAGGAGCTTCTCGGCTCCCTCTGCGTCGGAGAGGGCATAGCACCGAAGAAGCAGCTCCTTAAGGGCGGCGTATTTCCCTTGGGTGGGTGGGTCCCGGAGGAGAGTCAACACACGACGGGTGGCTAGTGGGTCGTATTAAAAACGTACAGCTCTGCTATCACTTTCAACATAAATAACGACAGGAAAGTAAACAATAGCGACGTTTGTAGGGTTACTGAAGTTGGGCTAGCTGGTATATAATGATGTGCTATGTGATCGCAAGTGCGACAAGCTATAGCATGACATAAACAGTAAAGCTGGAGGACGAACGCTAATGAATGGAGGACTTTTTTTCCACTCGATAAAAGTTAATGTGAGGGCTCCCAATGGTAAGGGGCCAATGCAATCGCATGGCAGGATTCTGTAAACGGACCAAACGTCAGTCAGGAGAACCACCGAGATTAGTTAGTCATTAATATACTGCTGCTGCATGGGCTGGGCTGTAGTTACATTGTAAGGGTTTAAAAACTGTGTTTTAAAATAATTAGCGGTAATAAAAACCGTGAGAAGCCGATAGTGATCACTGACTGTTTTTAGGGGCTTGTTGATATTAAATAACAAGATACAAAAGCAAAACATGTTAAAAACACATCAGTCTTATTAAGTGCAGAATACTTTGGACCCAGACGCAGGATTCATCACGTTATCACTTAAAGACCGGATACCGGTCATGGAGGCTAACAAGGGCTGCCCAAAGAACATCTGGATTAAGACATACGGCTTCAAAAAGTTTTGGTGCTTTACAGTAGCCGCATAGACACCAGTAGTTTTCCGTCACTCTCTCGTCCTCGTGTGACGGATTGTTTTCATCTTCATCTAAACTAAGTGCTGGTTGACTATTTTCATTCTCTCTCTCGGTTTGCTCTGGTTCAAACTGGAAAGGCTGAACAGAAGCCATTTCCAGTGCACTGCTAACTGTGAACTGGATGCGGTGCAACTGTATGACGTCACTACCCAGAGTGCATTGAGAACTAAATAACAATGGCGGCCTACTGGTAAATTGGTTTTATATAAAATGTGCTTAAAAGGGGGCAGCAGTGTTTCTGTGTGGAGTTTGCATGTTCTCCCCGTGTTTGCGTGGGTTCCCTCCGGGTACTCCAGCTTCCTCCCACCATACAAAGACATGGAGTTTGTGGGGATAGGTTAATTGATTAATCCAAATTTCCTATAGGCGTGAAAGCGGGAGTGAATGTGAGCACGAACGGTTGCCTGTCTCTGTGTGTTGGCCCTGCGACAGACTGGCAACCTGTCCAGGGTGTACCTTGCCTCTCGCCCCATGACAGCTGGGATAGGCTCCAGCGCCCCCCGCAACCCTGAAAAAGGACAAGCGGAAGCGAATGGATGGTGTTTAAGGAAAACATTTGGCGTATTTTAGTACCACATATGTGTTATTGAAAGCACAGTACATATTTTAGCGCAAACATGTCTTAATAGCCGGGGTTCCCTTTAACCAATGTGAAGGATTGCATGGATCTTCCTTTTGTTGTCTTGTACTACAAACTTATACAAAATAGTTGCAATTAAGTTGCACTAATTTAAAGAGAAGTGTATCCTTTTCAGCTTCTATGATGTGGTATTTCTCACACATTAAACTATCCCAGATACCAAAAGGCGAGAGGCGGGGTACACCCTGGACAGGTCACTAATCTGACACAGGGCTAACACATAGAGAAAGACAGCCATTCATACCTATGGGCAATTTAGAATCACCAGTCAATCTAATCCCACTAACTGCATGTCTTTGGACTGTGGGAGGAAGTGGAGAGAACTCCCACAAACACAGGCTGAACATGCAAATTCCACACAGAAAGACCTGGCCAGATGACGGAGTCAAACTCAGGACCTTCTTGCTGTGGGGCAACAGCCCTAACTACCGCACCACTGTGCTGCTCCGAATTAAATTAACTGTAGATATTTAATTTAACTAGGCTATATTTACCTTTTAAACCTTGCTGTCCTGTGCTTTAGATCACAAAGATTCAAATTAGACAAACAAGTGTCCTCAGTTGTGAAAACGAGTTTTTACCAGCTACGCTAAATCTCCAAGGCAAGGCCCCATATTCCACATAAAGACCTTGGACAGCTTATCCATGCCTTTATTACTTCGAGACTAGACTATTGCAATTCTCTGTGCATGGGCCTCCAATTCTCTCTCCTCCAGCGTTTGCAATTAGTTCAAAATGCCACAACACCAGAACTGGCACCAGAAGGCATGATCACATCACCCCTGTTCTAGCCAATTTACACTGGCTCCCTGTTAAATACCGTATCGTATTTAAAATTCTTTTGTATACTTTTAAAAATGGCGCCCAGTTACCTAACAGACTTTCTCGACGTGTATAGCCCCAACAGAGCACTCAGATCCTCTAATGGCTCTAACTTCTGTGATGTGTAGCTCGTTAGTCAGTGTCTGTTTTAATTTTGAAAAAGTGTCTAGCCTCAAAGGATTCCCTTTCTTTGTCCCTGTCACAATGACACGTCATTGGTCGATAGAGATATTTTATCCAAAAATGTATTATGCATATACATTTGTCATTGTTATGTTTCTGTTTTGACAAAACAGAATACTGTGTCAAAGCCTAAAAGGGAAACTGAGTAAAAATGCATCAGAATTACAGCCTGATGAATTCTGCAAGACAAACATTTCCTTCAGGTTTCCTTTTTTCCTCACAAAAAGTGAAAAGAGAGACAGAAGATAGAACATAGAGAAAAGACTGAAAATTTATTTTCAGAGAAAAATTTGTGGAACAGCAACATGAGGTCAGACAGCCTGAAAACCCCCACAAGATATCTGCAAATTAAGCCCCACATGTATGAGGGCTCCTACAGTAGCCAGCATCTGTGATGAGATGTAGAAGCCATGTATAACCTGACCTCCTAACCACTTAGCTGCAACCTTTCACTCACAAGATTTCATTCATTGCCCAGTGTGTGCCAAGCAGGTGGAGCTCTTCACTTGTTCTAATAAAATGCCTTGGGTCAGAAAGAATAATGTGTGACATTTCAGAGACTCCGTGTGGAGCTGAAAATTAAAGCAAGGAAAAGGAGAGTCACACAGAGTGAGAACACTTACCTCCCATCCCTGTCCCAGTCGTAAACGTCCACCTTGACTGTCCTGGAGGGAGGTGAGACAAGGAAGCCAAGGTGAGATAGACATAGGTGAGATTTACAGAAGATAAGAGGGAGTGTGAGGGTGAGAAAGTGAAATGGCAGGAAGACAATAGAGAGAGACCATCAGAAAGTTGAGTAAGTTAACTTTTCTTCAAAGGATGTTTCACATTATGAAATCAATTAAAATAATGGTGACCCTAAAGTTATACAGCTTACCAATGTCAAAAATTATATAATTATATAATATATAAAAATTCATTCAATAATGAAAATAATGGAAAAAATAATACGTATAATGGATTATATATTTGAAATAAGACAACTTTAAAAAACATTGTAGGCCTTCTTCCTTAAAGTCGGTGCTATGACTCAGATTCTTTCAGTCGTGCGATCATCCATGTGACCGTGTGCGCTGTGCTTTAGAGTATGAGGTGGAGTGACTCTTGTTACTTCTTGTTCTTTTCCTGTACAGGTTGATTGCCTGTGTGAGATGCAGGTCCAGTTTTCTGTGACTTAAACAGCTACTGTGTAAGAAGTAATTAAATGTAATTAAATTCAATAAATTTATATGTTACACAGCAGAAACTTGTATTTGTTTTATAGTCGGATTTATTGTTATTTTAGTGTTTATTCTTGAGTGTAGTTTGGATTTTATTTGCATGATTTTACTTTGATATTTGTATTGCGTTTTTTGGACAATTTTATTGTGGGATTTTTAGTGTAAAAGTATTTATGCCTGCCTTCTTCCTCAGGGAATAAACTTTCTTTGATTAGACCTACTCAGTCTCTGTGCCCTGGTTTTCTGATACACATACTCCTCGTATTTAAAGAACCTCCTGATGTGACATTTAGGCCCACCAGCTTTAGTGTCTAAACAAACAGCACCAAATCTCAACAATAGTCCGCTCAACCTGCTTTAGTTTGTACAGTAAAGACCCTACAAGATTTGAGACAAAGCCCCAACAATCAGACGATATCCTTGCTGATAGGAGTTTATTTAGCCTACGTTCACACTAATGCATTTTCGTTTGAAAACGCATCGTTTTCTCTCCGTTTTGACCTCCCGTCCACACTGAGATGGCGCTTTCCTCAAGGAAAAAGGCAGCGTTTTGAAAACGCTCTCGAAAACGCATACATTTCAAAACGCAGCTGTTCCGTTGCAGTGTGGACACACGAAAACGCAGACTTTCTAAAACGATGACGTATTTTAGTCATGTGATGCAGTCATGTGACCAAATAAACAAAGATAGCGGAGTACATTATACAGCGGTTGTTTTGACTGCCCTAAAAAGATGAATATCAGTTTGTACGCGCTCCAGATAGCTTTTATTTAAATTCTTTAATTCTCACTCGCTTTTGCAGCTTTGTACTTTTGTGTTACTCGTAGCAACAACTCCACCTCATTGTTAGTCCATTTAAAAATGTATTATGTCTGATCATGGCAGCCCAATAACAGGCCCTAAGCACCAGCCATAGAGGCAGGAATATACCAAAGCCAACAAGTCCGTCCAAAGGTGCCCTAGAGAGTATCCACCATATAGTAGCAGAACATAAGATGCAAAGAACAGTATACACTGAGAGGCATAACCAAGTGGCTGAGATAGTATATATGGACTAGAAGTCCCAAATACCCAATACAAGACACCACCAAAGGAGGTGGAGAACAACAAGGTCCTATGGCACCAAAAGTTCCAGACAGACAAGCAGCTGCTGGCAAACTAACCAGACAGTAGTGCAGGGGTGTCGAACTCCACGCCTCTAGGGCCGGTGTCCTGCAGTCTTTAGATCTCACCCTGGGTCAACACACCTGAATCACATGATTAGTTCCTTATCAGGCCTCTGGAGAACTTCAAGGCATGTTGAGGAGGTAATTTAGCCATTTAAATAAGCTGTGCTGGATCAAGGACACATCTAAAACCTGCAGGACACCGGCCCTTGAGGCCTGGAGTTTGACACCCCTGTAGCAGTGGGTGACAAGGAGCAGAAGACAAAAAATTGTGATAGATATGGCAAACCCAACAGACAGCAACATCAGGAAGGAGGACAAGAAAATAGAGAAGGAACAACTGGAGCAGATGTGGAAAGTAAAGTCCAAAGCAGTCCCGGTGGTAACAGGAACACAAGGAGTTGTAACCCTGATACTGGAAGAGTAGCTCCAGCAGAATCCGAGTGTATAAGAGGTCTCTGTGCAGAGGAACACAGTCCTAGGTACACCTAAGATACTGCGAAGAACCCTCAAAATTCCAGGCCTCTAATAGAGGACTCAAAATTTAGCATCACACATATACCCCCCACACATTCATCCTAGCCATTATTAACAGTAGTCTGACCTCTACTGTGGTGCCAAATTTTTTAAAGATGCTATTGTGCAACCCTTTTCTTAACCTTTTTTTTGTCGAGCCTGTCTCCAAGCTACTTTTGTTGTCTAAACTCCTTTAAAATTTTGTCTACACTCAATTTAAGTCCCTCCTGTATGAATATCTTGTTTTAAAACTCACCACAGCACTGAATCTGCTCTATTAAGAATCTGGCGATGACAGACACTTTGTGCTCCAGTGGATGATGAGAGGCATCCCCACAGATACAGCAGCCATGGAAGCAGAAGAATATCCTATCAAGAAGGCCCTGAGTAAATGTGGTCCTCCCAACTGGACATTCACTTCAGGTGCGAAGAAAGACAACTACTGTCTAAGGGAAAATCCTTAGTAATCCCTTATTTGTCGGTTGATTTAGGCTTAGATGTACATACTGTGCGTGTGTGTTTGCTGCTTATTACTTCTGCATTAGTCTCAATAACACCAGCACTGGCCTGACACTGAGTTCACGGCCGACTGCTGGCATTATTCTGACCACCACAGAGTTCAGCTTTATACAGGATTCAGTATGAATATGGAAAGACAAACCTCAAATCTTCAATTTGAAGACAGACCCAGTTTAAGAAAGAAGATGATGTTTCTGCATAAGTCTGAAGTCCTGATGAGTACAAGTGAACCTTCAGACGTTCTATGCTTTTCATGGATGAAGTCATGGAACTTCTACAGTCGAAAATGTAATGAGAACTTGGTTGGGGCTCCTTCACCCTCCTTCAGCTCATCTATATTTCTAGGTTGGGTTTTTTCTTATCTTCCTCCTGACAATACCTCTGTGGGTTTAAGGTTAGGGACGCTGGTTGTCCAATAAAGCACAGTATGTCATGAGACTATGGCAGCAGACAGTGAGGAAAGAGGATAAGGACCCAAATGCATACATGTACAGGCAGTAGTGGGTTTTAACAAAACATGAGCCGTTTATTAAAAGCTGAATGAAAATACTAGCAAGAGGAAAAACAGGAACTGAGGCTTAACTAACAGAACTAAACTGGATGGATTAACTTGGACATGGAACCTGGAAACATGGACAAGAGAAGCAGACGTCCTGATAAGAGACAAAGAGAAAACAGACAAAATATATACACACACGAGGGTGATTAGGGAGAATGGAAACACACAGGAAACACAGCTGGAAAGACTTGACAAAGACACAGGGAAAGCAAAACTAGCATTGACACTCTGTAGCTGCATCAAATTTCCATGATATAACCAAATTCTGACTAGCAGACTGTGACCTAGACATAGTGTAGGTGGCAAAAGTCTGTGACAAATTAGCCTGCACAGCAACAGACGTGTGCACACCAACAATGGATAATATGGAGTGCAGGAGAGAGTACGACCATGCAGCGTTTAAAGCGTGGAAGTACTCACATTACTTTGAGTTTGATTCCGTAAAAAATTACAAAAACATTAGCGTCTGCTGTTCACTCTGCGTGGGAAGAAAACGTCTTTCTACAGCGAAAAATTAAACTTCTGAGCGAGCTCCGAGCACGCTGCCACAGGAATGTGACATTCACAGAGAAACCCCCGGATCCTCCCACTGACAATTTTTAAAAACAGACTTTTTCATTTGATTCAGTTTTATATGATGGATTATGCAAAAAAAATAGAACTGGGCTGAAAGATCTGTTGCTTTATTACTTATTCAGGTTGTGCATTATGTTTTTAAAAAGTACCTAAGTAATAAAGTAACCAATTACTTTTGAAAATAAGTAATCAGTAAAGTAATGGGATTACTTTTTGGAGCAGTAATCAGTAATTAGTAACTAATTATTATTTTCAAGTAACTTGACCAACACTGGTAAAGACATATATTAGAGAGCTCTTTTGTCTGACTACAAATTAGTAGGAAATTAAATTTGAAGTAGTAGCTGTCGGGTTTTTGTCTTTATTTTTATTGTTATTTTTTTATTTTTTATTTTTGCAGTAGCTGACCCTGTGTTAGCTCAGTATAAACTTTTATATTCAATAGCATAATGATTTAAAATAAGAAAGTAATCAGTGTACTGTTCTCTCACCTGTCATAGTCTCCATTACAAAGTGCTCGAACAGGAATAGTAAATGACTGCCAGACAGGGTTTAGGTTGTTTTTGATCACCTCAGTCTTGTGACAGATTGTAAACCTGCAAACAAAAGGAGACATCTCAACATAGATGAAATGTCAGAAGGGGGGAGGTTTTTTTTTTTATCATGAAACACATGTTGGTGGGCTCCAGGATTGACAGGAAATAGTAAACAAAATGTATCCCTGGATACCACATATCCCTGGTTAAATAATGACATTTGGTAAGGCTTCATGCTACTCATCATCTAAATGAAATGCAACATTAGACACCAGAAACAGTCCAGAGTAAACAGAAAGCTTTTATCCTGAACTATATGTTTGAAATACTTAAAACTTAAACGAAGTACAAATTAAATTAAAACATTCTACTTCAGTGTAGAGAAAATCTATAACTACTTCTTCCTTCTGAAGGGTTAGTACCTTTCACTCTCCTCATGGGACTGGATCCAAAAGACAAATGTGTTAGCGTTTTTTTTTACTCACCGGCAGTAATAAGGCCAGAACTGGAACAGAGGAGCAGCGCTTTTCTTTAGATGGACAGCTAACAGATTGACTGCATATCAGAGGATATACAGTTTCTCTAACAATTCATACATTCCAAACAAAACACTCACGTGCCATCCTCGTTGCTCCGGTAGAAGACAAGGAAAGGATCAGACTTGCCAAAGAAATCCTTTTTATCCAGCTTGTTTGCACAAAACTGCATAGTGGCTATGTCCTAGGAAAACAAGAACAGTTTCTTTCAGGATCCGGTCTATCTTCAAGTTTATTTTTTAAGAATGAACTTATGTATTTTTGAACATAATTTGACAATAAGTACTTAAAAGAGGCTGTTGTCTAGCAAACTGTAATATCCGTAGACAAAAAGTCTATTGAGCACATGACTCAAACCCAACAAGAACTTTACCTAGTGGCAACAGGATATAACACAGAGCCATTTAACATTTAATAATAATGGACTGTATTTATATAGCGCTTTTCAAGGCACTTTACAATTCCACTATTCATTCACTCTCACATTCACACACCGGTGGAGGCAAGCTACAGTTGTAGCCACAGCTGCCCTGGGGCAGACTGACAGAAGTGAGGCTGCCATATCGCGCCATTGGACCCTCTGGCCAAGACAGGTAGGCGGTAGGGGATCGAACCTGCGACCTTCCGGTTACAGATGTGCTTCCCAACCCTCTGAGGGGGTCAGGGAGTCGGTTTAGTCCGCAAAGCCTTAAGGAATTAGTATTATATTATTATAATAGTGCAAGTTTTCATTAAATGGCATGACTGTGGTGGTGTGTAAAATTTTCATTAAGTATGAAATTGCTATAACTGTATATAAATACACATTTTCATTTGCCCCAGACTTTACATTTAAAAAGAAAATATTCTGAACACACTGATATGCTAATAATCAGAAACAGTTAAAGCACCACTTATTAGGAATGGAATTATGAGTATGTCCATCTCAAAAGAGGTCTGAATGAGCTTCAAACCTTGATGACACTTCTGTGTGAAAACTGTGCTTGAGTAGCATGGAAGATCTTGTTCAGGGAGGAACTGCTTAAAAAGTCATGAAACTATATATAACATTGAGGAAAGCTACAAGTACCTGGGGATCCCACAGGCAAACAGGAACCACGAAGAAGCCACTAGGAAAAATTGCAACCACCAAGTACCTGCAGAGGGTGAGGCAAGTCCTGAGGAGTCAGCTGAACGGTAAAAATAAGATCCAGGCTATCAACACCTACTCACTGCCTGTGGTCAGGTCCTCTGCTGGGATAATAAGCTGACCAAAGAAGGAGATAGAAGCCACGGACATCAAGACAAGGAAGCTCCTTACCATGCATGGAGGGTTTCACCCCAAGTCCAGCACCCTGAGGCTTTACACTAAGCGGAAGGAATATTAGAAAGATGGCCCCAATCGACCGTATGTTGAGTGAATACCTCAGGAAGCAGAAACCCAAGAAAGAGGAGCAACCATCATGGAAGGACAGGCCCCTGCATGGTATGTAGCACCGGCAGATAGAGGAAGTGGCTGGCATCCAGGAATCCTACCAGTGGCTGGACAAAACTGGACTGAAGACAGCACAGGAAACAAGCTCTGAGCACAAGATCCAGGCTGGGGTCTATCACACCAGTCATGAACTGGGCAAGTGGCTCCAGCATATCTCAAGAACAACATCCGAGATCTCTGTCTAGAAGAGCACATTCTTAGGAACAGCAAAGATACTGCGCAGGACCCTCAAGCTCCCAGGCTGGACATAGTAGTAATCATGATCAATGGTCTTCACAGAGAGTTGGGGAATGGCTGCAATCACAGCACTGTAAGATGGTGAAAGATGTACCCTTAGGCCCCGTCCTTGATTCAGAGATGGTCTTTCCCTTTTCACGTAAATGACCTCCTTGACTCCCCGCTCGATGTGTACATCCTCATGATTGAAAGAGTGTCCACTGGCCTGGAGGTGTAAATAGACTGCAGAGTCCTCACCTGACGCATTCTTCATCATACCATCAGCTTTGCTAGAGGTTGTTTGGTTTCCCTGGTGTATAAATCATCAGCGTACACTATATTACTCTATTTGTGTCGGGTGGTTTAAAAGCCACAGAGACGCAGTGTTTAGAAAAAATGCTTCTCAACTGTTCCGATACTCCTGACACATAAGGGTTTTCACTTAGGCAACAGTTGTCCTTCAATCCTGGATCGGGTGGAGCTTTCTTTCCATTGATCAGTGATCTTTGATCAATGAGCTTCGATCAGTGGGCTTTGATAAGTGGTAGTTGATCAATCGTCATGAGAATTAATGATCAAGGAACTGACCTCCCAGCCCATTGTTCATTCAGTGGTGCTAGTTTCAGTCATTCTGCAAATGTACTGTTTATAAGGTTGGGGAGACCTGCAGTCAGCTGAGACTGAAGAAGTCACCTGGATGAGTGACGAAATGTTTCTTCCACTGAAAACACTACGTCCAGAGGAACAGAATCAACCTTTTGGGATCCTCAGAAAGATGGTCATCCATATGCTGTTTTGTGTCTCTGCTTCATCTTCAGCAAAGATATGATCCAGAGATTGTAAATCCCATTGGTCCTTGGGTTCTGGGCATGGGCCTACTTCTGTGAATGGCTGGAATATTTCTACCAATTTGTTTTGTTTCTTTAAGAAAGAAAGAATGAGGTTCTGGTGCAAAAGGTATTGCAGTACTGGGTTGACCGTTGATTGAAATGTATAGAAGATAGATTGTTGCTCAGAGACAAACATTTGAACAATAAATCCAACAGGGCGCTCAGAGTTCTCAAGGACTCTTGAGCTGTCACCACCACCACGAGTCTGATACTGAAGCAAAGAAGGTCAAACCTGATTACATATATACATAACAGTAATCTGATCTTCTTCAACATGGATATAAAAAACAAAGTGTAAAATAAGGATTTATAATTCATAAGCAGCTCTTCTCATCACACTGAGAGTATGATGCAAATTACAAAATTATCCTGAAGTCCTTTAAATGGTCATTCAATATCCAGGTAATTTAAATTTACTTGGTTAACAAATGGAAACACAGACTGTGACCATCATGAGGTCCGGCTGCCATGCTTAACTTTCTAACTTCTCTTACTGTTTGTATCACAAGGTTCATCTAAGCTGATACTAACTCTGCAGTTACTCAGCTCCTCAGCGGTGAAGATGATGGTTCCACACTTCTTCCCAGGAATACCACTAAGAAAGTGAGAGAGAAAAGTGTAAGATACAGGACAACAAGTATTTAAAAAAAAGATTTGTGGCTGTATAATTATATGTCTCACAATAAAAGAATAATACTTAAAACTAAGTATGGATCATTCAGATCAAGCTATAGTTTACTGTTCTCTGGGAAAATCTGACTACTTCCCAATTTCAGCCTATGCTAAATTTTTAGTGTCCTTTAAAAATAAATAAATAAGAGAATAAATCAGAAATAAGAAAATAACAGCCACCAGAGAAACAAGCTGTGGCCAGAAATTAAATTTACAATGTTATAGACCTCAACAAATGTTACAGCGATGACCATATTTCCCTGTAAAAAATCACTTAACTTTAATTTTTGGTTGAGAAATATGAAGGAAGATAAAATAAAGACAAAGAGGACATAATTATTTCAGGTCTTTAAACCTGCCAGTTTGTTTTGTTGTTGTTTACTTTATTTTGTGTTATTTTTTGCTTGTTTTTTGATGTTGACCCTCAAGCTACCAGACTGCTGGTCGAGTACGTGAGTTTGAAGGATAAAGATGCACAAAAACGAATTAATTAATCAGGCAGGGGGAAAATACTCTTTCATTGCACTGTATGTCTACACAGCTTCTATGTAAAGCTTTGGAAATAGCAGGATTTCCTATTTCAGTCTTCATAAATGCTTCATGAAGCAGACCACATAATTTCTGACTTTCTCTTAATTTATATTAACATTAAGTTAATCACACAATTATAGAGTAAGAGTCAATTTGCTGAATCTTTTATCGCCAGTAACTTTCCATCACAGTGATTAATCTCAGCAGCTGTTTACTGGCCCAGGAGCTGCTTCCTACAAGTTATCATTGTCAGATATAGGAGAGGATAAAAGAGGAATTCTGGAGGCTCAGGAGGCACGTCACCATGATTGTTTCCAACCAGAAGTCAACCTGTCATCGAATTTGTCTCAGAGGAAAGAGCACTTTTCATTCAGTGATGAATTACAAAACAATCTTGGCAATTGTATTAAAATTTCATTAAGATTAGAAAATGAAATGTGAAGTCATTTCTCACAGAGAGAAATCACCTGCTAGAGCAAAGGCTCTGTGCCCTTTTCTCTGCTTGTGCCCTGTTGTAAACTGCTGGAAGTGATGCTTTGTTGTTGCTTTTTCATGAATTTATTATACTTACAATCTATCTGCCTCCAACTAACAACCATGTTTTCAGGATATTAGTATATACTCATAGGTCATTTTTAAGATCTGATTTATTCCCCAGTTTGTAAATTGGAGTTCCATGTTGTTGGAACAACATGGAAACCTGAGTGATAGATTAATCATATGTGTTATTGGAAACATCAAAGAATCTTTGTGAGCATTTCTAAAATAAATATTCAAACCATACACATCTTTAACTTTAGATTTTTTTTAAATTTGTCTATAATAGCGGCCACATCTGATTCTGAATAACATAACATCTTTAATTTAGGAATAGAGGGTGTCTGACTATTTATTGTAACATCATCACATGAAATACTTTCAGTGCAACCTAGCTCCTTCAAGCCTCTTGACAGATTTAAGTATTGGGTTTTGGGACTATGTCATGAAATGCTGAGCAGTTTACTGCATCAGTAAAAATAATTATTCAAGCGTGTATTTGCTTGTTTCCTTGGTTTTTCAGTTAAATGGACCATATTGAAGCGGTTGCTTATCTCTTTCAGATTTCTCATATCATTCTTATCAACCCAGTTAACAGAGGTGGTGGCTTACGACACCAACTGTCTGCCATCTATAATCCCGTTTTGAGACTCTTCCCAGCGCCTTAACACCCACTTACATCCTGGGTCATTTGACCTCAGTGAATCACATGATAGGTTGTGACAAGGTCTCACAGTGGGTTTACCCGAAACACCCGTTTTCACACCTTGGCTCCTGTTATTAGGCAGAGGATCAATAGGGGGTCCATGACCCTCTTAGGGACACTCCCATAGGGCTTAAAATCTGGGATTCTCCACCAATTGCTCTTAGAACTGAAGAAGCTTCTCGGATGAAACGTCTTCAAGAAAGTGTAATATCATCAGGCCGCTCAATTTGAGATCATCTTATTTTGTGCATAGATGCACACCGTCTTAATTATAGAGACATCATGAAACCACACCTGTCTAGTTTGGGGCCCATAATTCTCCTGGTCCTAGTCTGAAATATCTGAGATCTGTGTGCAAGCAAATTACACCCTGACAAAGAAAAGCGGATAATTAAAAGTTTTTCAAGACAAGTTGAAGCCAGATAGAGAAGTGGGGAAACCTTTATCATCCTCTTGATAATTCCCTGTGGTTGCAGGTCACACTCCACCTCACAGTGTGACACAGCGATTCGTTCCATCCACTCAAAGCTGCGCTTCTGTCTGATGCTGCACTGTGATTAAAACGCCAGCTGAGATTCAAGGATGTTGCCATAAACAACTGTGACAATGTACACAGGCACCAACACACCGCTACACATGCACACTACATTATGCAGGAGGGATAGTCGGAAGATTCCACACAAACAAAGAATATATTATCCTTGAGAGACTGTTTTCTGTGACCTTAAACTGGTTTTGCTTCATTTAGTCCATTGTCCCTTCTGCTGGTTCGTTTATGAACCCAGTCACGTAACCGTAGCTGCATGAGGGCAGGTAAAACTCAAAGATTTGGCTTGAAACAAGTATTAATTCCAACACTTCTGACAATTTCATCTCAGTTTGGTTTTCTTTTTAATCCGTCTCTGCTGGCCCTCTCACTTAAACAAAGAAAGCTATCAGTGATACATGAGTGTCTGTGAGCAGTTCTGATAATGAATCTTGCAAGGTCATGTGGGATATTGAAGATACCTTGAGCCTCTCTCGACTGTCACAGAACCTCCTATTCACATTCCTGCTGCTGCTACAGCCTAGCTGTGGTTAAACTGCAGTAACGTCACAGAAGCCTGTGCATGGCAGGACAAAACAGGTCACTACAACACAGATGAAGAAAATCAGTTAAATGTGGACGACATCAGGGCGTGTGTGTGTGTGTGTGTGTGTGTGTGTGTGTGTGTGTGTGTGTGTGTGTGTGTG